ACAAATAAAATTAAATTAAATTAAAAAAAATAGAAGCTGTCAAGGGCTGGGAAGGTGGCTCAGTGGTAGAGCACTTGCCTTGCATGCTCAAGGCCCTGGATTCCTCAGCACCACATAAGCAAAAAGAAAAAAGCCGAAGTGGCGCTGTGGCTCAAGTGGTAGAGCGCTAGCCTTGAGCTGAAGAGCTGAGGGACATCGCCCAGGCCCAGAGTTCAGGCCCCACGACCAGACCCAAAAGAAAAAGAAAAAAAAAAGCTGTCAAGAGCTGGTAACTCAATCTGTAATCAGGAGGCTGAGATCTGAGGATCACAGTTCAAAGCCAGTCAGGTCAGGAAAATCTGTGAGACCCATCTCCAATTAAGCACGAAAAAAGTTGGAAGAAGAGCTGTGGCTCAAGTGGTACCACACTAGTCTTTAAAAATAAGCTCAGGGATCCAGGCACTAGAGCTAAATAAGATTACAATTGAAAAAGGCTAAGTAAGTTTTCCAGGAAAAATCTTTGTTGGCCATGGATCTTGAACTCTGGCCTGGACGCTGTCCCTGGGCTCTTCAGCTCAAGGAAAGTACTCTACCACTTAAGCCACAATGCCACTTCTGGTTTTCAAGTGGTTGATTGGAGATAAGTCTCACAGACTTTCCTACCCAGGCTGGCTTTGAATGCAACCCTCAGATCTCAGCCTCTTTTTTTTGAGGGGGGGGAGTGGGGGGAATCCGGTTATGGGGCCTGAACTCGGCCTGGGTGCTGTCCCTCAGCTCTTCAGCTCTAGGCTAGCACTCTACCACTGGAGCCACAGCGCCACTTCCAGCTTTTTTTTTCTGCTTATGTGGTGCTGAGGAATCGAACCCAGGGCCTCATGCATGAAAGGCAAGTGCTCTACCACTGAGCCACCTTCCCAGTCCCAAATCTCAGCCTCTTGAGTAGCTAGAATTACAGGCGTGAGCCACTGGCGCCCAGCCCTGAGATATTTTAATACATCCTAAAATTAAGATTTTTAATATATAGCATTTAAAAAAAAATTATTGCCAAGGTGATGTACAGGCGTTATTTACATAAATAATGAGTACATTTTTTGAAGTGTTACCCCCTCCCTCATGTTCTCACATTCTCCCAGCCCCCTACCACCCCAACTCCATTACTCCCAAGTTTGTAAAGTTCATTTCTAACTTAAGTGTCTAGTGAGTATCACTGTTGCATTGGCTGACTTTGTCCTGCCATTTCTGTGACTCCACTCCTCTTCTGCAAATCAGATAAAATTACATACAAAACAAAGCGTACAGAAATAAAAAACAGTAATAATGGCATAAACCAAAGGGGGAAAAAAAGAAAAAAGAAATTACTGCAAATAGTAATTATAAAAACCTGTTTCCATTTCTTAGAGTTAATTTTGATAAGCTTCATTTTACATGGTTATATGCACCTACCTATTGAGCTATTGTGATCCTATGGTAAGAAGAGTATCACATTCTAGTTAATATAAATTCTAGTTAATACAAATGAGGGAAACTATGCAGCCTATATTTATTTGGGTCTGGCTTTCTTTCCTTAATATAATTGTTTTGAAGTCTTTCCATTTCCTTATGAATGGGGCAATGTCACTAAAATTAAAATTTTTAACAGTAATCTGGTCTCTAGCACTGGGAAACCCTAGCGATATACAAAGAAAACATCAAACTTCAATACCTATATAGAAAATATTTTTTATTCTGAATTATACAAATTAAACACACCAAGCAAGTACTGTTCATACAATCTGGTGTCATACTTTTAAATATTATAATACCCTTTTAAATACATAAGCTCAGTCAGTTCAACAGTATATCATTTGTTTGATTTTCACTGATATTACCAACTGATTTCAACCATGTTGAACTGTGATGTCTTACAATAACTGGACACTGGAAACATCAATATAGCTTTGACTCATCAAAGGAAATTCAAGAAGCTATTTGAGGGTGTTAAGTGGAAGAAAATAAACCCAGTTAAAAACAAATAGTTTTCACTCTATGAAATCAAGGTGTACATTTTAATCAAACATCTGTCCCATTGATACATTTTCAAGTTTATAAGAGGCTACCAGGCCAGACCCTTTGCTGCTTTTGCTTTGTTTTTTCCTTTTCCTTTCTCTCGCTTTGCCTTCAGCCGTTTTCTCTGCCTCTGGTTCATCCATACTGGGTACTGTCCATGCTGGTCTAAAAGAGTTTTTTTGTTTCTCTTAATTTCAGTCTCCATCTTCATGTCATCTGAATAAATAAATGAAAACAACTATGAACACCCATGCATTGAAAAAAAATAAACTGAAGCTGGTCTGAAGCTACAAAAGAAAACAAAAATGAAGTAAAAAGCCAATAAAACCAACCCTTATTTGTGGCATGTTCTTTGACTGCTACTGAAAACTCCTTAAAGGAAACTTAGAAGAATTAAGACATATACTGACACATGTTCTTTTAACCATTAAAGACATAGCTAAGAACACCATTTACTTTGCTGAGAAACTTTCTAAAGAATTTCCTTACTAGAATAGTAAAGTTAAGTAGGAAATACTTTAGGATATATAGCTTTGATTGGCTTCATTAGTGGATAAATGGAGGGTTCTGAATACCTGTGAACTGTCGAAACAATTCCCATAATATTAGGTGATTCTTTGAGTAAAATAAGGCAGTTGAACTAATAAGTGCATCCAAGCTTCATGACCATTACATATAAGTAAATGTACTCATTAGGAAAGACTGGTTATTTCTTAGGAACCTAACTAAATTCTAATGGACTTAGAATCAAGATTCTAATGAACTTAGAAAAGTGGTCAGTGACAGAGTTGTGATGACAGAGACAGGCAAACAACATACATGACAGACCTGAATATATATGTCCTCAAGCTTCCAGATCAGATCAGTGCTATCCACAGACCAGACTCAGTGCTACTGACAAAGAACTTGACACTGAGCTCTGTGCAACTGCACTGTGGCATATCTAGCAGCAACCTTATCTACTGTGAAGGAACATCTCCAGAATATTTCCCCCTGAGACCTCATGATTACATTTATATGTAAATGTAAATCCAAAGAGATGGTTAAGTTTTTGTATACCTAATGTATTTTGGCATAATGAGGACATTTTGGAACTAGAGGTGATGGTGGCACTTTGTGAAAGTACTGAATGCCTCTGAATTGTACACATTAAATTGGTTGATTTAGGATTGGGAGTATGGTTCAAGTATGAGTTCCAGCCACAATACTGCAAAGAAAAAAAAGTTAGCTTTGTTATATAAATTTGGCCTTAAGAACTAAAGCAGAGGGGGGGGGGGAGGCTGGGAAGGGATGTGAAGGGTAAACAAAGGAGGAGGCTGCAATGCTTGGTAAGAAATGTA